GTCCATGCCTGCTGCTGATTTAGTTCTGAGTAGGGTTTTGTGTGTCAGGGCTGTTACTTTTGAGTTTTGTTTTGTTTGTTTGTTTTGGGGTTTTGGAGGTTTCATTTGTTTCTTTGTTTGCCTGTTTGTTTTTCCCAAGGAGGCTTTGCAAAAATAAAGTGGGTAGAACAGCCAAATAAGAAGGGAAACTTGTGATCTGATACTGAATGTAAAGCTAAAATGCATTGTACTCGTCACTGAGGGAGAATCTTCTGAAAGTACCTGTGCTGGGGGCATCTAAATGGGAGCAAGAACTAGCAAAGGGCCAAGCCATGGCTGCTGTAGGATGGTGGAGAAAGATTCCATGTAACACAGCTTTCAAGGAACAAACATGAAAGAGTGGGAGCAGGTGATGGTTATATCTGTCTTTTCCCACCCCCACAGCTCTAACATCTCCTTACCTGAGGTAGATGCTGCCCATTGCTCTTAGAATTCATTGTTCCAATAGGGTTGGCTATCATGTGCACACCATTCATATTCTGTAGAGATGCAAATGCCTTTGTATTAGCCTTTCTTCAATTCCTAGAAGCACTTAAATCAGAATATATGATACTTTGTAAAGGTCATGGGTAGTAAGCTTTTTGAAAAAAAGCCCCAAAACCTCAAAACCCAAACAAAAAACACCACTAAAATTTTGCCTGAGAAAAAAAATTAAAATCCAAACTGATTTTATTTTAAAGTGATCTTAAAAGTAAGATTACAGTAAGTTTAGGTCTTCTCCCTCTGCCATGTAGGTGAATCTAACAGGTCCCTTGCTAGAGGCTATGATTTGGTGATATGTGTGGGTTGTTCTAGTAACTGAGGTGTCTCTGCTGCAGAAGTTGGCAATACCTGGACAAGAAAAGATCTGAATAAAATAATCTGGACAATACCTGGGCAATAAAATATCTGAACTTGCTAGAAACTGTATGGAATTGCTAGTTTACTTACTCGATCTCAGAATCTCCAGCAGTAAGTACAACAAACACTGCAGAACTAATATTCCCCAATTTGATTTGTGCAAGCAGGCTGGTAGGTTAAATGCAAAGTAGGACATTCCGCATTACATACTCCCTGACAACTACCACTAGTTGTTTGAAATAAAGGAAAGAGCAGTTTGTTGCAGAGATGTGTGCACTTTGATGGTTCCTGCATTAGAAGACAATGTAGCTCAGAAGATACTACCTATGACAATACCTTCGAGTGCATCAAGGAGTTGAAGTCAGTAGTAGTAGCACTAAAAACAAAGAAAGGAAAATAATACTTTAAAAATGCCTGTTCACCCAGCCCCCTCAAAAGGCACACATCGTGGGTAGGAGGGACAACACCTGTGAGAGAACTGGCACCTACAGAAATGGTGAAGAACACTATTTATTAGTACCTTTTATATGGTATCTTGGCCAAATACATAAGACTTGTCATTATGTTTCACAGATCTATCTCTAGCTGTATAGTAACACGGTTCTACCTCCATGGAAGAAAAAAATACATATTCTAAGGAGTATATACCGCATTCTAGGTAAGGAATCCATTTGCAGTAGAGTGAATCACTGAGCAATACAGTGCTACTGCTATCTTTATCTACTCAAGTTCTTCCTCTGCCAACCTCTCCCCTGCTGTCTCTGAGCACCTACCTGTATCACATTAAAGCCTTCATAAAAATCTGTCCTGTGTAGCATGTGGACCATGCAAACAATCCACTGAACTTTTATTTTGACACTGAAATCAGACTTAGTTCCAGGAGATGTACTACTTTTCTTCTCCCACCAAATTTCAAGCTCTTTTTCAAGTAATACTTATTAGTAATAGTTCTGTTATGAAAGGACCCACACATACTTTTCAGTAGGGCTTAAAGGGATTAACGGCACAATGCCAAACAGAAAATTTGATTCTATACTGCACAAAAAATATGTCTGGGATAAAAAGAGATAACAGAGGGAATATTGGAGAACCCATTAGTCTCCAGATTAATGACAAAACAATTTAGATCTTGCAAATTAACTGAAAGTCATCAACATATACTGTTTGAATGATAATGTTTGTTTTAAAGTAAATTTTTAAAGACATAACAAGAACTTGTTTCTCTTTTATTTTGAATGGTTGTTAACAACATAGAAGGAGCTCAGGAAGGGACTGTGCAATTTATTCTCACAACTTGTAAGATGCTCTTCAGGATTTAACCTATAACATAATCTTAGGGTGATAACTTTGAATATTCTCTCAGGCACCTTGAACTACTGGTTAACTTGTTAATCTGACAAAGAAATTAGTAATTTTCTTGATTTACCATTTTCACCTTACTAGATTTTACCCGAAATAGAGACTTGGTTAAAACCATTAGTGTTTCAAACTTCTGAAGAACTTTGTTTCTATTGAAAGTAATATTTTACAGATTTTTGGTGGAGAGAAGGGGTGGTTTTTATTAGTTCCTCCTCCCCCTGTTCCACTGCTCTCATCCTTCTCTTGAATGCAGATAGTTCAGACTTTCCTCAGGAATCCTCTGTAACTGTTTTCCCACTGGGTACATCCTGTGGGTACTCCGTAGTCTGCTTGGGACCTCCCCATCATTGTTTCTTCAGGGGAGCAGAAATAAGAATCTGTGGACAGCACTCTTTTATACAGCACAAAACACAGACTTCAAAAAAAGATTGTTTAAACCCTGAAAAACATGTTCCTTCTCTCTAAAACGGCCATAAAGTTAAAAAACCCAAATGAATACTGGGAAGCTTTAGTGAAATCCAAACCATTACATTAATCCCATTTCTCTTATAAGCTTTCCTTGTCAGTCACATCTGAAACATTCATTTGTAAGCTTCTGCTTGCCCTTCCTGGCTCTACTCCTGGGTTCATCTCTGTTCAACCTGTGTAGGGCTCAAATCTCCAGTCGTGATGTACAGGGTTCATTCTTACTCCTCATTGATGAAGATAATCTCCAGTGAAGGTTGGCCATGCTTTTCGCTGAGATCTGCAATGAAGGAAGAGAAAGCAGCCCTTGGGGTAAGAACTGAGCTGAGTCCCTGGGCCATACCACTGAACTTGGAGAAGCTACTGCAAACCAAAGCTTGTCCAAGCTGTCTCTGGTACTCTGCAGCCATTATGCATCATTTTATTGTGTCATATCATCCTGATCACATGCTTCTGGCAATTAAAATAATATCATACCTACATATAATAGGCAAGGTTAGATGAAAACATTTCCATCCCGGAATCTATGAATTGAAAGAAAAGAGAGGTTCCTGTTTTCCCAAATCCTTTCTTTCTCGGAAGGAATGACCAAAAAGAACCTTAAGAGTTCTTACCAGGTTTTTCTGTGGCACCTGCTCTGGCCTGGGCAGCTTGGAAGGGGAGGGGTAAATGGACAAGTGTCAGGTTGCCACAGAGCATGGTTTTGGGCCTGTTCTACATTTCTTTGACTTTCTTCTCAGAGATTTCCTTCCAGCCCTGTAAAATCCTAAGAGTTTATGACACACAAACTCTAGTACATGCCCTTATTCAACATAAATAGTTTCCCAGCTTCAATTCTCCCATCACATCTTGAAACTTTCTTTAATTTTTTTAAAGAAGTGTCAGAGTACAAAAGAAAGAGTATGGACCAGCATCTTTGGCAGTACAAGTCAGACAGCTCTGACCTCAATAGAATTTGATTAATGTGTATCAAGAAGTCTGGTCACTGATGAACAAATGAGAAAAGAATGACCGATACTGACAAATACCTATTGGCTTGTTTTCTTCAGTAATGGTGCTGCCTGCAGTACTGATGACCTTGTGCTCCTCCTCAGCATTCACTAGCTCCTGGAGCACTGCCTCCACGATTGGCATCACCATGGCTGTGGTTGATGTGTTGGAAAGCCACATGGAGAGCACTGTGGTGCAACACATGAAGCAAAGAAGCAACCTGGAGTGCAACACAGGGAAATCTTTTTGAAGGCACTTTCAGAAATATTAAAGGCCTCCTTGCCTGATGTTTTCATTAGTTAACTGATAACTAAACAGGGTCTTTTTGTGGGTGACAAAATATCATGCTGTGTGCAGATACAATTCTGTTTTGTGGTGACAACATGTCAATGGAAGCCATTTGCCACATGGAAATCGTGATGGGATGTGAGAAACAGTTTTCAACATATCCAGGATTTAATCATCCTTTGGTGCTTGTTTAACAACAGGCAGAGAAGGAATAGAGAGACTAAAATCAGTATCAGTAAAAAATAGAAAGCAAAAGGACAACAAGCCAAGGAGCGGGAGCTGGCAGAAAGAGGATGAGAAAAATTGTAAGCTTTCCAACTCTGAAAGGAAAGGTGGTTATGTAAAAGAGCCCCAGACCAAGCTAGCTTTTGCCCATGGATGGTAAAGTCAGTGGTGGTGTTTGATTTTTCAAGCTGCTGCTATCACTCTCATACTATTCTGAAGTTAAAGGTTCACTCACATGCCTGGCTTTGCTCCAGCCATCATGACCATGCGCAGGGCAATTCGCTTGTGAAGATTCCACTTTTCTACAGAAGCTGCCACACAAATCACACCCATGAGGAGCAAAGTTGTGTTTTTGAAATATTCAGCAGCCACCTGCATTAAGTGTAAAGGGGAAACAGTTAAAAAGCAATAATTACCCTACACAGAATGCATGCTGAATGAGAAGAAATATGGTATTGTGGATTTTTTCCCCCTAGAGAAAAAATGACAGAGAGCTGGAAAAAATTAAGAGCTCATAAGTCAAAATGTTATTGTTAATATTTCGTGTTGTGTTTACAAAAAAAAAAAAAAGTCTTAATACCCACTTGTTGATAGGTTTCTCAGTTTTGAAGAAATCAAGAGAAATTTTACTTCGAGCAGGATGTTCACTCCCTGCAGACAATCAATCATACTCAGCTAGGCCAGACTGAAAAAGCCACAGACAAACCTCTGCTCTGAAGGCAGCTTATTCATGCACTTCAGCTGCTTTTTCATGTTGGAAATGTCATTGTCTATCTTCTTTATATTTTACATGTCATGTTCAACTGTTGGGCAAAACGTGGCATTTCTAGAACCTACAGGTCAGTAAAAATGTCTTTTGGGACATGCTCTCTGAATGCAATAAAGGGATATTATTGTGATGATCCACAAACCCTGTGCCAGAGCTTTTCACAATGGAAATACATCTCCATTCTATCAAGAAAATAAGGCAAAGTTTCAAAAAAGAGAACTTTAATTTAAAGGGGATGAGCAAAAAGCATCAGCTGGCTCAGGAAAAAAATCAGAGACTATGCATGGTCCTCCAAAACAACATTCTTGAATCTGAGTTTTGCTAAGATATAAGAAGATATGCTGTGAAGTGACTGAAAAAATAACAAATAAAATAAACCAAAACATTCACACAGGCACCCTCTCTTGTGTGAAAGCAAACAAAATGGGAGAAAACAAAAGTTACAAACACATGCTTGGAGTCTAGGTAAATTTTTCAATTTGTTCTGATGCAATCCTATCCAAGCTGTTGCTGCAATATTTTTCCAAAACCATAGTTTTTTCCCTTTAAATCTGTTTCTCTAATAAAATGTAGGTGCCAGGATTTTAAAACAATTAAAATCAGGAGAAGCAGTATTTTTTCTATTGTCCTCAGTTATACTGATGCCCCTCCATAAAAGTGCAAGAAAGACACTAAAGTTATTTTGTGAAAGTTGCAGCATATTAATTATTTAATTATTTAACAAATCCCCGTCATGACCTAAATAGACTTGGCCATCATAGTTGTGTGCCGGGACACTTAAATATCACTTTTTTGGCTTTCTTCCACTGGTTTCTTTCCCATTAACTTTCTTTATTTTCCTGCTACCTTGTTAAAAAGAGATCTTGAACTGAATGAAAGAAATCCTTCAAGCCAGCAGCACAAAGCATCTGTTGTTTTCTTTTATTTCTTTCACAGTCATTTTTGATAAACAAGCAAATACCAATATTCTTATTAATACATGCAAACATATATACAACACACTAGCTCATGTTCTTAAGCTCCTGTGAGTTATTTGTACCTTAAACTGCTAGGCAAGAGCCCTGGGTTTCTTTGGCATTCTAAAACAGCATATAGGAAATATTGCAACATCGTCAGAGTTGGTTATTTTATAATACGAAGGTTTTTTATTGTTCCTAAAGCAAATAAAACATTCTCTGCAGTAGTCTTACTGTCATATAATTTGATATTACATTGAATTTCTGTCAAGCTGTCTTCTCCAATATGCTGCAGAATTTTGTAGTGAAAATGCATAATTACTTTATCTTTATGTTAGAAAAAGAAAAAGAAAATCCTGAAAATATCTGACTGTGTTGGCATGGAAATGTATCTGATTATATTACACAGTTGTTGCACCACTGGGAGGAGTAAGACAGGTCATAAAACTCTTGGTTCATGCTTGAGTCCATCCATTTATGGGTATTCCCAGTGCTAGATTGTGTTAGAAATTCAGCAATTTTATGGTTGCTATATATTCTTCTGTGTTCTTATCCATATTTCTAATCCTTGTAAATCAAGTCATGCCCCCTCATGCTCAAAAAAGAGAGAGAAAAAAGTAGTAGGGGAAAGCTATAGGTGAAATAAAATAAAGTTTTGGCATATCATGAAAGAAAGTAACATTCAAAAAATAACTCAAGTAAGCAAATTCAGAACTGATCATAGAGACTTTTTTGTATGGCTGCTCCTTTGCCTTAGAATCTATGGCTACAAGACATCACTAAGGCTACAGTGGGGAAAACGTATTAGACACTCACCTGGGTAACAAAATTATCTAGTATTAACCAGTAAATAGTAACTGTGTTTGTAATCTCTTGCCTTATACATAATCAATAACTGATCTTTACATGGTTTTGGAGAAGTGGAAAGGTGGGATCCTTTGATGCAATAGGTTTTGGGAATTGTTTGTTATGCAGTAGCTGGCAGGATGGACATGCCTCTTGGCTAATATAGCCTGTCCTATATGTATCCTCAGTAGAAGAAAGAGTTGGTCAGCCATAGTTACACATTACAAGATGCACTTTTTTTCCTCCTATAGCTCTTAGTCTTGCTAGTCTACTAAGATTAGTTTTATTCAAATAATTAAGTGAGAGTAAGAATATTAAATGATAAAAAAGTGCACACGTCTGACCTCACTGGACTTCATGACTCCAAAAAGTGGGTATAGGAAAGCAGGAACTAAGGCTGCTGCACCAAGTGGTACTGCTTCAGAGACCCAGTATACAGCTGTCACGATCAGCACGTAGGCACATGAAGCTTCCTGCAGGAAGAAAGCACAGAGGTTACATGACTGCCTCATGACCTGCTGTGGAAACATTGTGAACATGTTCACAGGACTCATCAGACTGCAAGTGCCTGGACATAAACTCAACAAGGACTGCATAAAGACTTTCAAAGGTGCAGCTGTTTGGGTACGAAGTCTAGGCTGCCATCTGAAAGGCCAGTTCCAGAAGATGATGCTAATGAAAGGTTTCACACAATAGCTAGCGCAAAACATTGGGATAAACATATTTATCAGCAGAATAATGGTTCCAGGTGCATTTACAGATTTGTTTGATTTGCATATTCCAATACTTACCACATGTTCAACCATGACTCCTCAGATTGGTCCTGTGGAGGTGGTACTTCTCTCCAGTATTGGACAAGAAGAGGAACTTGTAGCTTTCAGGATCAGGTGAGAACATCTGTATTTGCTATAGCATGGATAAAGCTTCAGTGTGCCTTTTTTTTGGGAAATACTCTGAAAAATTGGGGGGTTTTTAATAGTGTGCAAAGCTAAGTTTTTCATCAGTTGATTTTATTTTCTCAGGTGATTTCCACAGACCCTTGGAAGAAGACCACAGACCTGAAGGGTTTAGAGGCAGTGGATTAACAGAGTTAATCAAACAAATTTGTTGCTGTCAAAGGTTCTGGTAGAGAAAGCCATAGAGAACATCATGCTGAGTGTTCATGGAGAACTGGTATATGATGGAGAAAGGTACTATCTGCTGAATATTTTAAAAGGAAAACACAGCTACTTCACAAAACTTTTCTGGTCCATTTTTTATTGATAAGTATGTCTTTATGGCATGCAGCTGAGCTCTTCTTAGGCTCAGTTTGCTATATTTAGAAACCTGGGGACATTTCCTATTAACAATTACAGAAATTACTGGGGCTAACTGGCAGTTCTATGGAAGCTAGTAGGTCAGCACTGATTTACACCAGCTGTAAATCTAACCATTCTTCATTATTCACCGAATATGAACTTATTGAGCTGCATGGATCCACAGTTCACATTGGTTATTGTTTAGGAAATTCATTGTTAACAAATACAATTTCATTACGTTTGTTTCCTGGCCAGATGACTCCCAAATTAAGTAGCTTTCAAGAAGACACACAAGCATTCCCACAGAATCTTGTGCAAATCAATGAGTGTGTATTACACTTTTTTTTTTTTCCCCATCAGTTTTATGAAAAAGGTGGTGAAGTCTGAAGCAGGACTATACAGGGATGTGGGTTCAATGGAATGAATGAATAGCTTGTATTTGCACATCCTTTTTACATTACTCCTAACAAAGAGTCACAATCAGCTAATCCTCTTTTTTTAGTGCAGTTGATAGTAACAAGAGGCAGAACACAGTTCAGACAAAAAGTTAAGATAGATTGCTATGTGCTATTTTCTTAACTTGCTTAAAGATTGCAGCTAAACTTATCCAGAAGCTGTGTTTATATTAGCCATCAGACCTCCTTTTCTGACTTCTATTTCAGAAAAATATAAGATTAAACAGTTCTAATACAAGCAGGCAGGGCCATCAAAATAACAGAAATAAAGCTATCAGGAAACATTATTTCCTTTAACCAGATTACCTCCAATTACTTTAGAGAGTAGAAAGAGTATCTGAAAAGGTATTGAAGAAATTTAGCTCTGGATTGTTGTTTATGGATAGATAAGAACTCTGAACCACACAGAAATGTGCATATCTGTTTCTCTTCCTTAACTATTATAGAACAGTAATTTACGTTTTAAGTCTCCAGTAGAGGTTTCACTAGTCCTCTATGATCAGGTCCTTCAGATAAATATTGAAATAAAAGATTGAATAGCAGTCGTAGCTTCATTGCTACCAAGAAAAATAGAGGCTAGAGAATGTTGGTTTAGAATGGACGAGAGGGGTATTTTTAATGTTCATGGATTGTGAAACATGCATTTTACAAAATGAAATTGCTATGCTGTTTGAAACTCCAAAGATTGGTGTTCAGTTTGCAACAACTTTGAGTGATCACTCTTTAAAAAAAAAAAAAAAAAAAAATTTGACTTAAAAATTGAAATAATTTAAAAGGTGACATGACAGGCATTAGAGTTTTTTAGTAATCTCTACTAGGAAGGCAAAATTATTTTAGATGAGAGTCACAGAGTGGATGGATTGGCTTTAGCCAACTTGCTGCTGAGTCACCTTTAACTACATCGCACTTCGTGGTTGATATTCCACAAAGAGTAGAGCATAGAGTAATTTTTGTGACTTAGTAACTATTTGACACATTTTATTATTTTTTAACTCATTAACTTCTGCTAACAAGTTACTATGTTTGCGTGGGCTCTCTATGACGTCCAGCAGTTGTCTGAGGAGAAAAACGCCTCAATGAAAAAAACATTGATATTTTTTCTAAAGCAGTGCAGGTGTAAGATCCAAGAGATACTTTGCCAAAAATTTATAAAATTAATTTTACCCTAACCTGATTTCAAACTATTTTCTTACTCCAAAAATATACTCTTTAATTTCTTTGAGCATAGCTTGTTATCTTCTATTGCTCTGTGTGTAGCCATAAAGTAGACTTGTAATGGAAATAGAATAGGAGAAAGGGAGGTTGCATCTCTATCAAAACTTAGCTCGGATGGGCACTGAGTCTTTTTGTTTCCTATACAGTAGGCTCTAATCAGTTTACAAACAAAACTAAAATAAAGCACATTTTTAAATGGTGTAAAACTGGATAGGAAGTACTAGGAAAGCCAGGTTTTATAATCTCCACTAAAAACTTAATCAGCTTGTCTAGCAACCTTCTCTGTTTTCTCAACACTTTAAAACAACTCGTTTACAAGAAAACCATATTAATCTCTTCTATTTAATTGAACTGAATTTATATATTTAATTAATGGTTACCAGAGCTACTAAGTACTGGAATGAAGTAGAGGGTCTATAATTTTAACTGTTTCACTGTTCTCACTTCTTGTTGTATAGCTGAAAATTACTGTTAAGCTCACCGCAGGGCTTGAAGCAAAGAATAGGAAAACATGTGATGGTTGGAGGGACTACCACCTACCTTCAATCAGTCCATTAGGTGAAAGAAAAGGAGCTGAAAGGAAAGTATGGCTAAAAAAAGTCACAATAAATGTCATGCATAAAACTGTTCTAACTAAAACATCTGATGATCTCAGAACAAACTCTGTGTTGGAGATTTGACCAGTTAAAGATGTGCTTTGCATATCTTGCATGCAGGCATGTGGTTAAGCTGTGCAAAGAAGAGGTAGTCTAGCTTCTGGACTACCTTCTCTGAGTTTACGGGATCACACTGCAAATATCTTCCTTCAGCTTGTATAAGTAAAAACAAAGGTGAATGAACATACATCATCTATTCCCTTTGGAAAAGGAAGGAGAATTCAAGCAAATTTTCTCAGGTTTATTTTTTACCCAACCATTCTTTTCCATAAAACAACAGAAAAGAAGCTGTGGACAGTATTCCCAGTAGCCATATCTGCAAACAGTTCTGAATCCTAGTGCTCGGTATGATTTCTCTTGCCACTACATATGTAATGCTCCTTTGACATTTCCAGAGTTGTTCTGATCAAAGAAGCTGCAAGCTGATTCCCTGCAGAACTGGAAATATAAACCACCTGGCAATTCTGACTTCTAGAAGACAGACAGAAAACTAATAAAATTGTCTGATAAATTAAAATATAAGTAAGTGAGCAGGAGACAAATTTAATCTTTGGGTTTAAGAAGCAATCATAGTCAATGGGTTGTAATGAAGTAATACTACACTAAACCACTTAAGTAGTGTATTGTTAACTAAGTTCATTTCGTGTAGATGTTCTCTTAATAGAATTATAAACATTTGTCCAACCCTGGGTCAGATTCACAGCTATAGTTTACCATCTGTGATCATTCATGTGTATACGAAATGGATGTAAAACATCATCTGATGGTTTTTCAAAATCACTTTGCCATAAACCAACAGCACAAGGTGCAGAGTTATAGCACAGAGCAGCTTGTACTGTATAGCAGCAATTCTTGCCGTAGTAGTGTTAGTGAACTTCTGTCTCAGCACCCAAATGACACTATTACAACTGCCTTGGTTATTAAAGTTTCCTTATTGCACCTCTGTGTCCAGCAGGGAGCAAGCAAAAGTGACAAATTTTAATACAGTGAATCTCATGTTTCCTAGGAGAGGTTCTCAAGGGACATAAAGCATGCTGCAGTTATAGTGCCATATGGGCACATCAGGAGTATCTGTTCTTACATCGCCCTTCCAGTGACACTGGGGGAGACAAAACTGTTTTAAAAGCAAGCCTCTGTAAAATGGTGAGCCCAGCTGTTCTCCAAAGAAGAGCATAATTACCTGTCATTTATTCCATTTTGAGAGATAAGATACGGAAAACCACTATAAGAGGACAACTAAGATATACACTGAAGTTTAGGACAGGAAAACCTATTCCAAGGGCAACATACAGTTCAGTGGTGTAGGAACATTACCTTTTCTTGAATCCTGTTTTCCTTTCCATACAAAATACTACAGTTTCATTTTTTAAAACTGCTACACAATTTCTAGCCTTTTGCCTTTCTATTTGATAAAGCAGAAGTATTCATAAATCCTCTGATACTAGAAGGAAGAATTAATCTTTAGCAGAGTAGAGGACAGAATGGAAATTGCTGCACCATTTGGCCAGATTTATGTCTAGAAATATGTGGAAGCACCAACTGCAGAATTTTTAATACAGTGCAAATTTTGATAAGTTAAACATCACCATCTCTGTAAGGCTGGAAAACATTGTTATTTTATAACTGCAGAGATGTGCATAAGGAGGAGGTAACCACATGGCCAAGGGTACTCAGTAGCTCCAAAATCATGTCTGGAATGCAGCTGCATTTACTCCCATTCCCTTGTCTGTGTGTTAAGCACTAAACTGTTCCCTGCTTTGCGTTGTTGTGTATGGCTATGAGACATAATTTATTAGCCACTACCAGATCTGCAACATTTCAGTAGAGGTACCTACACATGCTTTAGAATAGTTAGTGACATGTATGGTCCTACGTCTGTCCCCGAGTCCTAGCTCCGGCCTCACTTGAATTGCTACCCTATAATCCAACACTAAATTGAAAGTCCCTCCATGCATACTTATTGCTAAAAAATAAATATGCTAGAAGTATTCCTTTTAAAGACTTCTTCTTAAAGAAAATTTTATGGATGTGTTTGTTCTGTTCCCCTTTCACACACACATTATTGTAGGAAAAGAAAAGATACAATATTTTTCCTTTATGATAGTTCTTTACTAGCTTTACCTGGTTCTTCACCTCTGCTTGTGACATGACTAAAGGCAGCTCTGGTTCTTACTGTGATGACTTCTCAGTGACCTTCCCAGTCCTTTAAATTTGAGTCCTTGGTTTTTCTAAGAGCTATGCTTGTTTAGATCTTAGGGTTTTTTTGCACACTGCAGACTTATCCATGACTACCTGCTGCACTCAGAGGTTTAGTTAAAAAAGAAAATGAAAAGGTACTCACGCTACTGGGGTGTAAGAGTGGCAGAGGAAGCAGCAGAATTGGAATGAGAACAACGAGCAAGAGATTTCTGGATCGGAGAATCTCCTTTATCATTGCCATATTCTTTTACTTTCTGGTGGCTTTCTTGTACTTGGATTTCTTCTCTGGTTCCTCAGTTACTCCAACTTCCACTCCACGTTTTCCTTCACCTGTGCCTGGATTACCCTGACAGGTCTTTCACTGCCTCATTTCCTATCCCAACCAATTACCTAAAATATCTTTCTTAATTTATTTATTCTTCAAGCTGCTGTTTCAAAAAGATTTTTTAATTAAAAAGACATTCAGTTTATGTAGGGCTCACCAGCACATCCAAATTATTTTCACACCATAACATGCAGGTGCTTGCAAGTTGAAGCATAGTGATCTTCTGAAAATTTTTCTTTTTAATTCAAAATGACAGGTATAGCTGTGTTGCATCCTTATGTCCGTGTTTTGGAAATTTTTTTTCTTCCATCATCTAGCAATGTAAGTCCTGTTTTCATAAACCAGGGAAAATATGCTTTGGGCTGCTTTTCCTCCTGATTAGTAGTTTGAATGTCTGAAATACAGGTTTCTCTTCTGCTGGAAAATTATCAAAACCAACAATTTATTTTTTGGTTCACAGAAGCAAATTTGCAAGTATTCTTTTTTAAAAATAAAAAATAAAAATTAAACCATCTGCAACTTTTGCAGGTTTTGTTTCTTTGTTATAGTTTTGGCTTCTGCTTTGTATCTACCTTTACCCTACTTTTGCCCTGAGCTTAGAATTCACAGGGCAGCAATTCCAACACAGATTATACTTGGTCTCAAGATAAAAACTTGTTAAAAAGCTTCATTCAACTCTAATTCACCAATGAGGACTGCAGAAGGTAGTAGTTGCTCCGCCCATTATCCAAATGCCAGTAAGAACAGTTGAGAAAATCAGCAGCCTCCTCTTTCTGACATGCACACAAACGTACAAAAAGACCTTTTTTAAGTTGCTGAACAGCTTGTTATTGTTTCAAGGTCCCGGTACTGATGAGAAATAAATAATCATTGTTTTCTAAACAGTATCTTTTGTCTTTCATGTTTCTTCTGTCCTGATCCATGAATGTCACTTATTCATAAGACATGAGCTAATCTCTACTGATTCATGTGTCCTCAGTAACCATAGGATTCAGACTCAAATCGAGGATTTTTAGGCTTTCTACTCTAGTCTTCTGGTGGAGAAACTTTTCTACAACTCTGCCATAATTAATGCTTTTTTTGTGGGGCAGAAAGTACGGGAGATTTAGGACTGAATCCATTGGCTGTTGAATGTACAACCAGTACACAGGTATCCATTTGTCCTCTATCTCATAGGAAGCCACACACCTTGGATTTTTAATGCTCCCAAACCTTGCTTGCCTGCTTTCTCCTCACACTCCACTAGTCAGACACAGACTGAGCTCCCCAGACTGAACTGCAATGTCTCTGTGACAGAGTCCTGGACAACTGACAGACAGACCTGCAGAAGAGTTTGATGGGCAGGGTGAATTTTTCCTGGAATTAGTAGTTATATCTAAGACCGTGTAACATTTCTATACCTTGAAACTTCCATCAAGCAACAGAACCTTGAGACTTTTCAGGCAAATTTAGCAATTAGTTCTGGAAGTAAAAATATAGTTAATGTGAAGATTTGGGGTTGGCCAATACCAGGTACGAATTTATACCTGTTTGTCAGTTGTTTTAGAGAAACTAAAATAACGTCTAGAATACTCAAAAACTTTATTTACATTTTTTTATTTTTATTTTTTAAATCTATGCTTTGTTTCACTTTTTTATGATCTGTAAGGTCAAAGGGCAGGTAAGAGATGCCATCTAGAGGCAATGGCTATTTACCCTCTAAGAGAAGACTATCTATATACACGACAGTCTGAAGTGATGAGATGCAATATGAGCTGGGGAGCAGGCAATCTATGTTTGCATCTTGAGCAATTCTGAGGGAGGGAAGCTGTCCTAAGCCCAGAGAGCTGCCCTGAGACAGACTGCTCCTTCCCACTTGAACTCTGGAAAACAGAGGCACACTAAATCCTATTTATTACCTCCCCCTGCCTGTCAAAGGGAAGGGTGTTCCTTCTCTCATACCGTTACTCCCATTGTAGAGTAAGGCCTGGCGCTCGAAGTAAGCTATAAGCACCACGTAGAATAATACCTTATAAGGTAAAAACCGCTGACTTGCCCCCTGATTGGCTGACACGCTCAGTTCCGCACTGCGAAAGGTATATAATGCTCCTGTGTGCACAATAAACGCTATTTGATCATCCGCCATATTGGTGTCTGTGGTCTCTAGCCCTAAGCCAGGGGGATGGCTTAGCTCTGCAAGTCTTGCCTGAAGCAACGCAGCAACACTCCCATGAAGAGTTTCACAGTCTGACATAACCAATTACTCAAGCTGCAAGTTGCTAAATGATAAATCTGCCACTGGAATCAATACAGTGCAAAACCAATAAGTTTTATATAGAATATTTTTATTATTACATTGATAGTCTCTGTTAAATTAATCTGGGCACTCCAAGCATATTCCCAAAAAAACCATCTTTTTTCTACATTACACACAGTAATGGGAAGAGGGAAACAAACTCAGAAAAACTTCATTTTCTGTTGAGGAGATAAAGGTTTCAACTACAGATTTGTAAGGTATGTATGCCATAGAGATTGGATATTCAAGATTATCTGTAATTCTTTTCTATGTGATACTTACTGATGAGTGAATTCTGACTGCTGGACAGTCCTGTTGTGGGGTGAGGATCATGGCTGGGAGGTATTTCTCTGGATGGTAACTGCTAGCATGCTTGCTGTTATCTTGTTATCTTTTCAGACTTAGAGCCACTGGCTATAAGGGATTTATGAATTGCTCTGCTTCCAGGCTCTTCCAGCAAGTGGTGCTTCAGGGAGCCAAGAAGCATAGCTGGTTTTAGGAATGCACTTTAAGGCATTTCCCCTCCATGTGTTTATAAAGCATGGTATGGGAAGAAAACACAAACACATGATCACTGTCAATGCTCAAGGCTTAAAGAGCATGTGGGCTGTAGCGCAAGGCCCTGAGCTGTGTGTGCAAGCAGAGGAGGCGGAGATGCTTGTGGCTCATAGCTTTGTGGTTGAGGTTTTCAGTTCCCTTTGCCATATGCCAGCCAGGCTTTGAAGATGGCCAACAAACATCTTCAGGTATGAAGGTGCACCTACACATATGTGCATCTAAAAGCAAACATGCACAGTCATGCATACACATATAGAAACTGCTGTGAGAAACAGGACTGACTGTCTTTTATAAGCCCTTTGAACAGCTGCCTGATCCTAAGGCTGCTGTGGATCCACATTCTCATGAGTAATTGCCAAACCCAGTGTGCTCTGGCTGCTTGCACTGTCTGCTGTTTGCTGCAACAGGGTGGTGCTGGGTGGATTTTTTCAGCTCCAGTCCTTGAAGTATCCCTTTTAAGGGACACAGAAGGGTTCATCCCGTTTGCTCAAGTGATGCAAAAGCAGTTAAATGTGATTCAGAACAGGAGCTGGAATCCTCAATTCTTTTTTACAACCTCAGGGATTTGTGATTTTATCCTTAAAATATTACGCAGGTAGAAAAATAGGGAGTGCAGATATGAAAGGATGAAATAAATGTTCAGCTGTTTTCCCATGCTCTGGAAGTAGAAGAGCTTCTAATATCAACAGAGAAACAGAGTCTGTGTAATTTGTTCATAAAATGTAGAGGTTTTGCTCTTGAAAAGTTTGCATTTTCAATGCCAGTCATCTGTCTGACAAGATTTATGTTCTTTTTCTGTCCATTTTCTGTCAATATTTTTTGTAATTCATAATAATCAGTTGCACTATTTCTACAAACAGTTTTTGCTGTAAACAAGTACTGTTTCTCCACTGCTCCCAAATTCATAATTCCCATCACTGGACTGATGAATGTCCTTTTCTGCTAAGTGATTGGATACAATTTTTCCCTGACTGAACAATTTAGCATTCTCCATGTACTCAGAATTTACATGCACAGCTATGCATGAACCTACGCACACATACATTCACACATACACACAAGTAAATACATAATTTACCACCAAAAATGAGCCACACCACTAAATTCAGCACCATGTTTTAATGCACCTTCTTCCCTTGCCTCAGGAGGGTTCTGAAGCATGGGTTTAGATGGCCTACGCTCAAGTGATAGAATCAGGAAAAACGTGTCATCATTAAAATAAACAGGGCCTTTGACTCTGCTGAGGAAATGTTCCCTTCAAAAAACAAGGAGCAGAAGCAAAGTCATGTGCAAATAATAAAAGAATCATTGCAGTCTGTTTGGGAGGGAAGCTTTAGGAAGCAGAGAGTATGTTCACAGGCATTGTTTGCTGCTGGTATTCACAATGCCCTTTGTTTTCTGCAAATGTTATTGCAATTAAAAACTGGCTAAGCCAAATGAAGTGAATCAGACAGTGCTTATTTACAAGAATATTTGGAATGAACAATGTGGCATAATTTCTTAGACTGACAGTTATGAAACTTTTTCCTTTTTCAGAGGGCCTTTGCACGTTTTTATAATATTCTTTTTCTGGCCAGACAAAATATGAACTTGTTTCCCTAGCTAGGAAATCAGCTTTCTCCAGCTCATACACATAGGTATGTAAGCATAAGCATAGTATACTTATGTATTGCTTATAGGAAACCAACAGGATGAAACAAGGGCATGTCTGTCTGGGGCATACACCGGACTTCCTTCTTTGCCTGTCATAGAATGTGCCTCCCAAGCTAACATGAAAATCGAATTCCCAGGACTGAAGATAACATTTTCCTCCATTTAACATGGAACTAGAAAGTGGATTCCACAAGAGGGAGCTAGAAAACAAATAATCTTTCTTGAAGCAGACTATTAAACTCTTTACAGAATAAAGTGGTGGACGTGCTATATGTGTCCCATATCAACCACAAGAGGTGGCTGAGTTACCGTTGCATCAAGTCTCCCACTATGATGGCTCTTTGTTGTATGGAAACATCAAGTCGTGCTTCAGGGCTTTGTAAAGATTGACAAAGGATTCAGCCCAAGCATCTTTCTGGTGCCCTTGGGA